GACATGCACTGTTTACTTTTATTATTCTTAATCAAATAAGGGGGTGTTTTAGTCTGCAAATTTAATTATACCGGTTAATGAGAATCACACAAACTGAGGAAAACTGACCGCAAATAATTGTGAACCGTACGCATGAATAAGTGTATTGCGTTGTCAGGTGATTTGATCTTCTACAAAAACGTTATTTATTATCAACCAAGCAACATTGAGCATATTTCCATCTGCAATTAAAAGCACTTATACATGGATCTATGTTTTTTCAACGTGATGTGTACCTAAGTACCCTTCATCTAATAAGGAATTTCTTCTCTTTTCGAGCAGATATGTCACGAGACAAAAATAGATAACAGAAAATGTTAGTGAAGACTACCTGATTCAACTGGAATAATAACTCCAAACAGCTTTTGAATGTCCTGAGACATGCAAGGTCATTACATCTCTGCCTTGGATACACTTCCTGATACCTTCATGATCAGGATTCTGACATGTTACCTTTGCACTTCTCCAAAACTTCCCCAAAGTGTGGCGATGCCTATAGCAAATCCACATTTTTTCGTTTATCCTCCTGAGCGAGGTGAAATAAGCCAGTCCTTGCCAAGATTGCTCATTTTCACTTAAGACCTCTTTAGACAGGTGGCAGCTTATCAAATGATGTTTTACTTCGTCATTGCATTCAGACAGTCGTACCAAACCACTTAAGCCACACGATGAACCACAGTTTTTTCCATCTTTACTATTCAAAAAGCAGTCCTGAGACATAATGAACGTCTCGCTAACGAACGACTTCCTCCTGTACTTGTAATTGTTTCCAACGCAATACAAGTTCGGGAGATCTAAAGGAACTCACTATAACTTTGTATACTCGATACGATTTCAATTTCCGCGTCAAAGGAGAAGCCTACTCTAATTCGTGAGTGGTCAGTGGTTACGCTCGTGAGGTAAAGAATGGGTTTGTGACTTTTTCACTCAATTGAAAAGACTCGCGTCACTCTTATGAAATGGTTGAACGGAATACAGACTCCGAGCAGTCTCTTATTATTCTTAAAGGTAGTGCGGTCACGCGTATCCTGTGAGCATGGAGAAGTCGCGAGACGCGAGACTCGAGACTCGTGTCTCGCGTCTTTGCCGCTCCACGCTCTCAGAGTTAGGCAAAGACAAGAAACGTTATTTTTGGTGCGATACAAGAGGTTAAATGGTTATCTCGATTATCTAAACGCATTTATTTACGTGATAAAGATTTATTTGTAAATCTATGAATTGATGCTAGTCCTACTTGGAACGAAATGTATTTGAAAGAAAAAAAGGAATACTAAGTAAAACAAAAGTTGTCTGCAACACGAAGCATGCCTTCGCATTAAGACTGACAGTCCTAATGCTTATTATAATACTTTAATGCATATGTTCGAATGTTCCCAAAAATCATCTGAGAATCTGCCCGCACCCACCCCACACCCCGCCCCTCACCACTGAGCCGTTCTGTTTTCACTCAGCGGCTGGTCAGCGATCACGTTCACGAGGTAAACATACCGATCAATTCCTGATCACTGTTCTTGTCGATCCGAATGTCAAAATACCAGCGTGATATTGCCTCGAAAATGAAGCAGTTATGTTATTTGATTTGTACTTCACATTCGAGTCGAAGCTTGGGTTCAACGAACAATTTCAAATTTTGCCGCTTGAATTGAAAGTAGAGTTCATTTGAATTGCTTTCGCATGTATTTCTGACGGTTTTAGATCGACTTGCTTGATTTATATCGGTTACGCATCATGCGTTACCTTGAATTAGGTTTTGGCGTGTGTGACTTAGGCGAACCGATAAGGTGTCATTCAAGTCTTCCTGTTTCCTGATTGAAACGTGATGTCTACGAAAGTCGCCTCGATAGATAAGATCGAGTTATTATACATGGCTGTGCTATTTTTTTTTTTTTTTTTTTTTGTGCTGATTTCCGTAGTTTTTTGTAAATTGTCCTCCAAAGTTGTATGAAATTAAAATTTTGAAAAGGGTCACGACAAGCCTTCGCTCGAGTGAAATTTAATTTCCGTAAAACTCTGAAAAATAAAGAGATCCGATCAAACGGATTGGTGTGTTAGTATACGTACATGAAAGTCTTACAACACACAAGAAACGAGCGAACCCGTGTCTCAAGCAAAATCGACCGGACCGCTCTTACAGAGACACTCTTAAATGCGGCTTACGGCACAGACAAGTGAGGCTTCGGACGACTGAATGACATAGTTAAAAAATTTTCGCCAATCCTCAAAGGACCCGATGTCCTGCCTCGGAGGTTTCCAAATTTTGGCAAAACAAACTATCTTGTTTTTTTAACCGCTAAGCTGTCATGTTATGCAAGATTTCTCTGAATAAAATTTCATTGGGAAAAGGATACTTCAGTCCGCTTGTATTTGGCGTGCGATGGCAGGATTTCTCTCATCTGACCCTTTTTCTTTTGAGGGAAACGAATCTGAGCTCCACTTTTACTAAATGTCTGTGATTCGTACCCTGGGTACGGTTATACTGGCAGCAATTTGGAGAACACATAGTTTCAACGAGAAATTCTCCTCCCATCTCAAGTGTCGAAGCCATCAAAAGTAACGCAAGCGTTAACCACATCTCAAAAGGTCAGGAGGAAAAAAAGGATCCGTTCTTGTGTAGCAATTCGCGCAAGATTTTCTTCAGTTTCTTTCAGAGCAAGATGGGTTTGTGATTGACGAATGGATCGATCAGCGGACGTTTGGTCAAACGATATTAGTTTGATGCGACCGCGGCCAAAATTTGGAAAACGCAAAATTATCGCCAATAATTGACTTGCGAAAAAATGGAAAATATTTTAATTCGCTCTAATGTAATCCGGCTCTAAGACTCCAAAATCAAGGGCGATTTTATGTACATTCGGGATCTCCCGGACCACATGAGCAAGTTAGTGAAGCAATCTTTCTCAAGTTTGCAAATTGGAGGTCGCACTTATTTTACTCTGCTTGCTGACAGATTTTTCATTTAAACAAACATAAAACTCGAAATTAGGACAATATCGTTTAGTGACACTTACCAAGTGTACCAAGCCAATGGATCAAGTCACAAGCGGCCCAATATCATATAAATTACCTCACGTATGACAGGTGACACAAGATAAATTCTATGTCACAAGCAGAACTAAAAACTCACTTCACTTTATAGTGTCAAACTCACTCCCAGCGGATGACAACGGTAGCTCACTCGCGCAGAAGCCATCATGTCCACAATATTCCACTTGCTCTTCCTGACATCTCTTGCAGCCAAATCTTTTTCAGGTTAGATTGTCGTTATTTCCTCTATAATATTCGAGTTTTTTGAGTAATTTTGGCGAAAACCTGTGGAGTTATTAGCTTCAGACACTTCTAAGAAAACCACAAATTTATAAGTTGAGGCACAAGTCAAGGGGGTAACTTGTTTCTTAAGCAAAGAAAGCAATGAATTTTTTATGATTATTTTTTTTCTTCTCGCTGAAACTGGCAGGAAGAACGAAAGGGGCTGAAAGGAACGAAAAGATAGCCTAAAAAATATATTTTAATAAGTGGATAAAGTATGAGATGGAGACAGCACAATTGTGTTGCTTTTAAAGTTCAAATGAGCCAAAGTCATCTCTACCCATGGCAAGACTGAATCAAACAGTTGACCAAAATAGACGCAATGAAAACATGTGCAGGGCGAGAAATCTAGTAAAAATTCAATTTTGAGCTTAGAATATAAACTAGCTCTTGTTTTGAACAAGGTGATCCGATTTTTTCTCTTTTTGGTGTTCATTTTAGAAGTCTTTCTTTGCCTCACCAGTTAAAGACTAGCCACGCATTTTGTCAGTTTCCCCATAAAGTTTGCCGGTGCCCAGAAATATTTGGCACACTTGAGTAAAAGAAACTAAAATTTTTTAGCAACCTTATCGAGACTTTGTGTCCCTTTTTTATGCTGAATTGGTGCGGGCAGCTAAAGTGGAAAAAAGGGAAATTAATGCTTTTTTTTTAATTTGGCTGAAAAACTGTCAAATCTGCCATTAAGTCACAATAAACTAAAAGCCCTTTTTTTATAATCGAAGTGTCTGAAATTACTGAAAGTCATCAAAGAAAGGTTCTGTCGATTTCTTGTATTTATCTGAGTTTTTGTCGTAGCACATTGTTAAAACGATTCAAAAGAGTTTCCTGGTAAAAATAAACAATGGCTTCTTGGCCGTTATGCGGTTTGGCTGAATGAGCTGTAAATGATAATTTATCAACTTGGAGTTCTACCACTTATTTGCTTTAAGTTTTTTTTTTGTGTTTCGTTACCTTTCAAAAATAGAGATGATTTAAGATATTTCATCATCGCCTTTGAAGAAAAATTTGTCTCCAACTTAATTCAAAGATAGAGTTCCAGTTTTCATAAAATTATACATAAAAATATCTATTGGGGCAGTGGAAATACGTTTATATTAGAAAGTAGAATGATCCAGAAGAACTTTTGGCCCAATTTAAAATCGAGCTTTGAGAATCGACACAATTATATAAATGTCATCTTTTGAAAGGCGTTGAGACCCGAATTTTCCTCAGGCTTCCTTTTAGCAATTTCTTTCATGATATGCAGCTCACCTTAGCGGACCATATCTTCACTTTTATATCAGAAAATAGATTGTGGTTTGTCATCGTGGTAAATAATAATGTCAAAAAAGAATTATAATCGTTTGCCTCACGATGTGGTCGATTCGGATGTGGAGTTTTATTTATTTGAGAATCAGAAAACGATTGCATCGGAGATTGCTGCCGGAAATTGGTGCCTTTTCTGTCTCCGCTCTCGGACAGACAAGGGCATAGCTTTACAATCGAATACATTTAACAAATGTCCAACGCTGCAAGAAGCCTTACCCCACCAGGGAGAGACATGCAGAGAGTTCTTGTCTCAGTTTAAGAATTGTAATAGCAATTTGGTTTAAATCCATTTTATTCTCCTCAATCCAGGAATGAAAGGTGCTGAACAAGATTGGGGCCCTTCTGACCAGGCAGCTGAACAAGGCTATTTTCTTAAAGAGGAGTTCCATTATCTGGACGTTACTCAGATCAGAAAGTTCACGATATTCGACATGTTTCATTGCGCCCTGGCGTGCCTACGAAATAATTTGTGCCTCTCTTTAAACACAGCCTCTTCTCGTGGAACAGAAGGAATGCTTTGGTGCGAATTACTGTCCTCCGATAAGAACAGAAACGCTGAGAACTACCACAAAAACACAAGTTCGCATCATTTTTCCATTCTGCGGGTAAGAACACTTTAACCATTGTGTTAAACTCTAGCACAAGGCATTTGCAAGGGAAAGTATTTAAACGTACTTGTCCTCGACGAGGTATGCTCATTCACAGCTATCGCAAGTACTGTTCAAGTATTCACTGCGTGGTCTTAGCAATCATTTCCTCTCTTTCAGTCTCCATGTTCTTCATCGCCGTGTCAAAACAAAGGAACCTGCATCCCGAATTATAACTCCAACACTTTTGATTGCCTTTGTAAAGACAGTTTCTTGGGAGAATTTTGCGAGAAAGGTAATTCATGAATATTTTTTAAATATCTTTCTGTCTCTCTCTTCGATACTTTTCTTAGCAGTAGAATTCATCTGGCTCTGACATCACACTCTATCTTTCAGCTGTAAAATCATGCAAGGAAATATATGAGGCAAACAAGTAAGAGGCTTTAACTGTTTACTCATTTAAACATGTCTTTGCTTAAAATCTTATCATCTGTGTCACTGAAGACGCAGAGGTGGCCAGCTGGTCAAAACCACGTTGGATCTTAAAAACAGGGTTCGGCGACATATCAGTCAGGAAGTTTGATGCGTACATAAGGATAAAGATTGGCATCATAAGAGATTCAATGACTTATATTACTTCTCCAATTGTATTTTTAACAGATCAAATGTGAGTAAACTTGTTTCTCTCTATCTGGGCTCACAACCAACCTCTGTTCTCTGTCACATGGGAGATTTTGGATGCGGAGATGGAGGATGGACACCAGTCATGAAGATTAACGGCAACAAGGTATCGTATTGAACAGCTTTTCCTCATCAATGATAATTACCCTTCCGCAAAATAAGTTTGACAACACTCGGAAAGTTCAATGAATCATGCACAAAATCACGTTACGCCCAGTTAGCAAATGAAACTGCTTAAGTTTTTTGTCACTCACCTTGAAATGTTGATGAATATGAAAGTCGCATTTTCAATTGGTTCCGTCATTGTTTCACTGCTTTGTTGAAAAAATTCTTTGACAAAAAGGCAATGAAAGAAGCAGGTTTATGGTATTTATAACCAGAAACGCTTTTGAAAATTTTTTTTCAGTCTACTTTTCACTATCGCTCGAATTACTGGAGTAATAAAACTGAATACAACACCGCTGGAGGGGAGACTGGGTTCGACTCACAGGAAACGAAGTTACCTACTTACTGGAACACATCCTTCTCCAAGATCTGTCTCGGTATGAAGATCGGTGAACAGATCAGATTCATTGTAATCAATATGAAAGCCAGCTCTCTTTACTCACTGATCGCTGACGGAAAACACCGACGCACCTCATTGGGTCGTGAAACGTGGAAGAAGCTCATTGGCTTAGAGGCCTCCCTGCAAATTAACTGTAACAGGGAAGGGTTCAACGCTAAGAGTGGCGGGTTGCTTTTCGCCAAAGCAAGAATCGGCATCGTTTCCAACAACGAAAATCATTGCTTCTATAGTGACTCAAGGATTGGGTTTGGTACCGGAGGGGACCGGGATGACAACAACACGTGTGGAAACGAGGCTTCTCATCGCCCAGATAATGGAGACAAGCATATTAAGGCCATGGGATATATTTTAGTACATTAAGAATATGAAAAAAAAAAACCGAAGAAATATTTCTTATTCAAAGGTTATGCTTAGAATCAGAATGATTGAAACGTTTTAAAGGATAGTAAATCAAAAAGACGAGAATGTTAGAATGTCTCTTCTTTTAATGTGTCTGCAAGGAAATTTATATCAGTTGCTGCAACCTTCAAGGAAAGAGTAAACTGTTTGCTGAATTCATTGCATTAAGGCGAGTAAGTTCGCCTGCGTGGATCGAAGATTCCGGCTTCGAGCCTCGACTTCCCAGGCTCCATACTTACTTCTCACATTATCTCTTCCCCCCGTCCCATCCTTAAATGGGAAAATTAGCAACTGTTCAACGAGCGCTTGTTGGATATGAGATGATAAACGGGCTGATTTGGCTACAATCATCTTATATCCAACAAGTGCCAGTGGAATAATTGTTTTATTAAAAACGCCACAAAACATGGATAAATCTTTCCAACTTTCTTTAGTAAGAACAAACGGAATGTTAAAATGTACAAGAAAACTTTCGGTTTAACTTGTCTTCATGCATGTCCATTGTATAATGGCTAATAACCCATGATGGATAAACCAAAGAAAACTCTTGAAATGCATTATCCAATGATCCAGTTGTTAATAATGATGAATACATGCGAACTATAAGGGAAACCAATTTTAGGGGCTAACCTAAAGGGGGATCTACATCCGGTCGTTGATGAGAGGTTTCTTTAGGCTGCAGAAGCGGAGATAGGTTCCACAATCAATGTGAGACAGTGTGGAATGCACACCTCTCCTACCTCACCTTTAGAGGCAGATCTAAGAGAGAACTTTTGACGTAGGGGAGGGGGGGGAGGAAAGCAAACCCCTCTTACCTCACCTATAGAGGCAGATCTAAGAGAGAACTTTTGACGTAGGGGAGGGGAGGTCCAAACTTCCTAACATTCCAAAACACAGACATGTTTTTCGAACTTTAAGCTCAGAAATATTGCGAAACAAACAAATGATAAATAATTCATAATTAACAACTATTCACGGAAGGCGAAATGAATATTGTTAAATAATCCCTGGGACGAAGTCGAGGGGATTATTCAACAATGTTCACTGAGCCTGAGGGATATAATTGTTTTAATACGATAATTGCTCAGGTGCTTTCGAATTCTGCTGTAAATTGTAAGAATAAAGAAGCATCGCGTATCTTTTGTTTCAGTCGTGTTGATTGCCCGTATTAAGATAAGCAAACGGTTTAAACAGGCTTATTTAATGTAATTAACAAAAACTTCAAATTATTCTTTTGAAAAAGTGTTCTGTCAATCGTTTAGCATTTTTTGTGCTCTTGGCAATTAAATTTTCTTGTATAGCGTTTATCACCTCCTCGGAAACATTGACATAACGCGAGGCAGTTATTCTGAGATTTGGCGCCCTTGCTATAGTTGCTTTGAGCAATGTGATTATAGCAAAATATGACGCAATCCTTGACCAATCAGAGCGCACTCACCTCTATCATGTTGACAAGTCTCTTTAAATGGCGGCCAAACTTGGAGATTGCCGAAAATTAGGTAAGTTCACGGAGTTATAAAGTTTTGGTAAAGGTCGGGCCGCAAGTTTTTTCCTGTAGTTACCTTTTCTATGGCACCTACTTCCTAGCTATTTTAGTTGGATCGGTTAAGAACGCCTCACTTTTTCAAAAATTTACCTTGAATTTGATCGGTTTTGGCGTGTGTGACTTAGGCGAACCGATAAGGTGTCATTCAAGTCTTCCTGTTTCCTGATAGAAACGTGATGTTTACGAAAGTCGCCTCGATAGATAAGATAGAGTTAATATTCATGGCTGTGGTATTTGTTTTTTGCTGATTTCCGTAGTTTTTTATAAATTGTCCTCCAAAGTTGTATGAAATTAAAATCTTGAAAAGTGTCACGACAAGCCTTCGATCGAGTGAAATTTAATTTCCGTAAAACTCTGAAAAATAAAGAGATGCGATCAAACGGACTGTTGTGTTAGTATAAGTACATGAATGTCTTACAACATACAAGAAACGAGCAAAATCTGTGTCTCAAGCAAAATCGACCGGACCGCTCTCACAGAGACACTCTCTCAATATTCTTGCTCAGGGAAAAATTACCAAAGACGAAATTTCACACACGTTCCATAGAAATTGTGGTAAAAGTTAAGATAAAAATTAATTTCATCGAGGTTTTCCTTGCCTTCAGCAAGTTTTGTTTTCCTATGTATTAGCGAACGATCTGAGTCTCCCTGAGAATTGCATTCGGCAAAGAAAATATACCAAAGTAATCTTAGATTTACGATTCTACAGACAAAATCCGCGGTAAAATTGAAGAGTGACCAATGACAATGACAAGAATAAGAATCTCACACCATTTCAGTTGAAAAGGTCTCTTTAATCTTCTTTCCATTCAAACTTTCGAATCGTTATGATTCCAACCATAACCTTTTAAACGAGAGAGCTCTCTGTTCCTGACTATTTTTATTTCGTTTTGTTCTCAACTAAAATGCATCCGATTGCTCTGATATGTTTATCTCCATTATCTGTTCCGGAGCGAGAAGTCCACGAGTGTTGGAGTCATCGAATTCCCCTCCAGAACCAAACCCAATTCTGAAGTCGCAGGAGTCGCAATCATTCTGGTTGTTAGTAGTGATGCCGATTTTTGCTTTGGAGTAAGGAGACTCGTCCCATATAATATTGTACAATTCCTTGTTACAGTTATGAATACCCTTTAGTAGAAGATCATGACACTTAATCGATACCGCAAAGTACCTTGTTACTGTTAATCTCCTTGACTGGCGTCCATCCTCCATGTCCGCATTCAAATCCCCCATGTGACAAAGAACAGAGGTTGGCTCTGAGCCCTAAAGGATGAAGACAAGTTTACTCACGTTTGATCTGTTTAAGTGATCTGTTTAGAAAATCGATTCCGCAAAGTACCTTGTTACTGTTAATCTTCATGACTGGCGTCCATCCTCCATGTCCGCATTCAAATCCCCCATGTGACAAAGAATAGAGGTTGGCTCTGAGCCCTAAAGGATGGAGACAAGTTTACCCACGTTTGATCTGTTTAAGTGCAGCTGGAGAAAGAACAGAAGTCATTTTCTCTTTTGATTTGAGGAATTCATATCATTGTTTCTTATCAAACGCTTATAATTATTTGTCGGAGACGTCCAAAGTGATTTAATCACAAGACTAACATTTAGTCTTTAGCATCACATATGATAAAATTATTGCAATAAATGAGTTTCAACGAGCAAGGAGTTAATGCCACTTACTTGTTTGCGTCATAAACCTCCTTGCATGATTTTACAGCTTAAAGATAGAAACTGATGTTAGAGATATATTCTATTATTAAAAATGGAGAAAAAATGAAAAAAGTAGAGGTATATGTAATATACTCGAAACAGACTATTTTCGCAGGATTGGAAAGCTTTTGTTGAAAGCGTAAAATTGATTTGGAAAACTATGTTCCTCTAAATTTTCTCACTGATTCTTGGAAAAAACTGAATCCAGTTTAATAGTTTTTTCTACTTAAAATGGGATCTAAAAGAGAATAAAACTGTAACATCCCATGGTAGACTACGGTATCCCAGATTTGTTGTGGGTGAATTCCGAGTGTGGGTGAATTCCGAGATTTTGAACTTCGAGTTGAACTTTTAATTGAACTTCAAGTTTGGATTCAATGAAGATAAATTAGTTTATTCGCAACTTGAAAATTTATTGCTATAAATTTAGTCTAAATGAGCGTCTGAGTTGAAACATTTTGCAAACTGCAGCTGCAATTTCAACTGCTGAGAGTACCTTTCTCGTAATATTCGCCCTCAAAGCCTTTTTTTACAAACACATTCAAAAGTGTTATCTGTATAGGTTATCACACAGCTACCACCGTTATGCCACGGGAAGGGAAAACATGGAGACTAACAAAAGAAGAACAACAAAACAATCATCTTGCACTGCACTCGTAGTTTGAGTGATTAATAAACACCAAGAGATTACATACCTATCCAACTTTACAGCAGAAATATTTAATTTATCATGGGGAAAACGTTTCTTCATAATATTGCTCGGTAAGAAAGTTTGTGAAAGTTACGATTGCAATATGATGTTGGGTAAGCACGGGTAAAATTTTTTAAAGACATCAAAGTTGCACAAGCCCGTCGAGCGAGTGCTGTTTGAAGTCTTTGAAAAATTTACAAGTACTTATTTACACGAAATTCCAATCGAAATTATCTTACTGCGTTTGCCAGGGCGTGAACTGAAAATATTCCATTGGTATTCCAGGTCGCATAACTGGGTGTTGTTGTTGTTTCTTTTTTCCAGTCAGTTCTCTACAAACGATTTCTTTTAATACATCAGATAATCAGCGACCTTAGATATGAGAGTTTCAATGGGGTCGAGGTCGATCGAGGGGTGCCTTAGACAAAAGGAAAGGGAAAAAACATGGGCAAGAAAATCAATCCCTTAACATATCAGAGAACCTGTCGTATCCAGATTGTAACCGTGCGAGGAATGGGTCGAACTCAAGATTGATTAAATTATCTTGATAGTAATACCATCTGTTTGTTAAGAGGGCCCGCGGTAAAAGGCTGCCAGAGCCTACATTCATCAGTACTATAAAGCACAACTATAAGTTCTTTACAGTAAAAAAGATTGGGGTTTGTCATTGTAGTAAATAATCTTTTCATCATATGAGACTAATAGTATCGTTTGTCTCACGATGTAGTCACTTCGAATTTGGATGGCGACGTTCGACTGCATACTGTTAGTCTTCTTTAGGCGATGAGGTCGATTGAGTACGCGTCAGCTATATGCTGCTGTATATTATGTTGTGTGTCATAAACTGTTGGAAATTTCAATAAGGACGGAAGCCGTGTCATGCAAATATCTTTACAGGACATACAAATGGTGAAAATTCATGATAGACTTCTACATAATCGAGTATTTCTTCGAAATCGATGCCGTTGTTAAGTTCTATTTTTAAATGTATCGGCGAATTATTTGAATCTTTCCTAACGAGTGCTCTTCCTTCAAAAAATGTGCGAAAGACGTTCCAGCCTAACGAGACAACCTAAAAAAGCTCGAGTAAATTGAAGAGTCATTGATGTATACAACAAAAAAGGCTCATCTTTTAAGATTTTTGAATAAACCTTTTTATTTCTTTCTGATTCGTTCTGAATCTAATCTTAACATTTGAATGAACTTTCTGTGTTTTTCTTTTGGTCTCAATAAACCAAAATGTAACCCATGGCTTTAATGTGTTTATCTCCATTATCCGGTTTATGAGTAGCCTCGTTTCCACAGGTGTTATTGGGATCATGTTTTCCTCCTGTACCAAATCCAATCCTGGAGTCGCAAGAGAAGCAGTCATCCTGGTTGTTAGCAGTGATACCGATTCTTGCTTTGGAGTTAACAGACTCTCTACAGATAATATTGAACCCTTCCGTGTTACAGTAAACCTGCAACGAGGCCTCTAAGCCAATAAGCTTCTTCCACGTGTCACGACCCAATGAGGTGCTTCGGTTTTTCCCGTCAGCGATCAATGAGTAAAGAGAGCTAGCTTTCATGTTGATTACAGTGAACCTGATCTGTCCGCCGATCTTCATGCTGAGACAGATCTTTGAGAAGGATGTGTCCCAGTAAGTAGGCAACTTGGTCTCTTGTGAGTCGAATCCAGTCTCCCCTCCAGCAGTGTTGAATTCTATTTTATTACTCCAGTAACCAGAATCATAGTGAAAGGTACTCTGGGAGAATAATTTATAATATGATTAAAATTTATTATTGGTTTTTTATTTATCCCTCGTATTAGCCTGCTCGTTTTAAGACAGTTCGTGACGATCATAAATTTCTCTTCCCAAATTAGCTGTTTGTTTTCGCTAGGATTTACCTCGCAATGAAGGGAAAATAAGGATCATGAAATATGTATGACTTGGTGAAATAACGTGTGGCATTATTTCGTCATCAATATTCATGCAGAGTTAATTGGAGCCAATTTAGGTAGCGGTCATTATTTATCACCAGGGAGGGACTGGAGGATTTTTTTCGTGTCACAATCATACATTTTGCCCCCCCCCCCTCTCTTGGGCTCCTTTGTATTATAATAATCCCCTCTTATTAGCAGTCAGATTTATATAGTCTCCACCCCGTTATACTCCGTTAGTGACAACTCATCCCCCCAAAATCCTACGACCAATCGTTTACGTCGTCGATGAATACCTCTTAGTGAAAGATCATGATACTTAATCGATATAAGATCGATTCCAAATGGTACCTTGTTGCCGTTAATCTTCATGACTGGCGTCCATCCTCCATCTCCGCATCCAAAATCTCCCATGTGACAAAGAACTGTCGTTGGCTGTGAGCCCAGATGAAGAGAAACCAGTCTACTCACGTTTGATCTGTTGAATACAAGTGGAGTAGATACTTAAGTAATTGACTCTCTTATGATGCCAATCTTTATCATTTGTACTTTTTAAACTTCCTGACTGATACGTCGCCGAGCTCCGTTCTTAAGATCCAACGTGGTTTTAACCAGCTGGCCACCTCTGCATCTCCAGTGTGACAAAAGATAGGGTTTTTTAGGAAAGATCTGTTCAAATGAGCCAGCAGTGAAAGCCTCTTACTTGTTTGCTTCGTACGCTTCCTTGCATGATTTTACAGCTGAAAGATAGAGTGTGATGTCAGAGCCAGATGTATTCTACTGTTAAAAAAAGTATGGAAGAGAGAGAGTAAGATATTTAAAAATATTCATGAATTACCTTTCTCGCAAAATTCTCCCAAGAAACTTTCATTACAAAGACAATCAAAAGTGTTGGAGTTAAAATTCGGGATGCAGGTTCCTTTGTTTTGACACGGCGATGAAGAACATGGAGACTAAAAGAGAGGAAATGATTGCTAAGACCACGCAGTGAATACTTGAACAGTACTTGCGATAGCTGTGAATGAGCATGCCTCGTCGAGAACAAATGCGTTTAAATACTTTCCCTTGCAAATGCCTTGTGTTAGAGTTTTAACACAATGGTTAAAGTGTTCTTACCCGCAGAATTGAAAAATGATGCGAACTCGTGTTTTTGTGGTAGTTCTCAGCGTTTCTGTTCTTATCGGAGGACAGTAATTCGCACCAAAGTTTTCCTTCTGTTCCACGAGAAGAAGCTGTGTTTAAAGAGAGGCACAAATTATTTCGTAGGCACGCCAGGGCGCAACGAAACATGTCGAATATCGTGAACTTTCTGATCTGAGTAACGTCCAGATAATGGAACTCCTCTTTAAGAAAATAGCCTTGTTCAGCTGCCTGGTCAGAAGGGCCCCAATCTTGTTCAGCACCTTTCATTCCTGGATTGAGGAGAATAAAATGGATTTTTACCAAATTGCTATTACAATACTTAAACTGAGACAAGAACTCTCTGCATGTCTCTCCCTGGTGGGGTAAGGCTTCTTGCAGCGTTTGACATTTGATAAATGTATTCGATTGTAAAGCTATGCCCTTTTCTGTCTCCGAGAACGGAGACAAGAAAGGCACCAATCTCCGGCAGCAATCTCCGATGCAATCGTTTTCTGATTCTCAAATAAATAAAACTTCACATCCGAATCGACCACATCGTGCGGCAAACGATTATAATTCTTTTTTGAAGTTATTATTTACCACAATGACAAACCACAACCTATTTTATGAAGATATGGTCCGCTAAGGTGAGCTGCATATGATGAAAGAAATTGCTAAAAAGAAGCCTGAGAAAAATTCGGGTCTCGACGCCTTTCAAAAGATGACATATTTATATAATTGTGTCGATTCTCAAAGCTCGATTTGAAATTGGGCCAAAAGTTCTTCTGAAACATCCTACTTTCTAATATAAAGGTATTTCCACAGCCCCAATAGATATTTTTATGTATAATTTTATGAAAACTGGAACTCTATCTTTGAATTAAGTTGGAGACAAATTTTTCTTCAAAGGCGATGATGAAATATCTTAAATCATCTTTATTTTTAAAAGGTAACAAAACAAAAAAAAAAACTTAAAGCAAATAATCTATACAACTTCAAGTTTTTTTTTTTTAATTTTTTTTTTTAAATTACAAACACAATACTTACAATACAATATGAAACACCACTTACACTAATTACAGTGCTTATTTACATTACTCTACTTACAGTCATTAATAATTACACTACTTACAGTCACTAATAATTACACTACTTACAGTCACTAATAATTACACTACTTACAGTATCCAGCTCTATTAACAACACAATCGACTAATTATACCATTACATACAAAAAGTACTATTTTCTTTTAACATTGCACAGTGACACATACCGGCGATGGCGACGCCCAGTTAATTCTCTAACAAAAATAAACTACAATAAACTAATAAACAAGGAAGAATATGAGATCTAAGTTTATGCATTGGTCTTCCATTCTTTTCCTTAAAAAAAGGGCAAACACAAAATTATATGAGAAATTCCCATCTAATTTGAAAATCGCGAAGCTTTCTGTTTCTTATAGCAATTATTTTTTCAACTTGTTTTTTAACTTCAACCTTGTGCAAAAACAATCTAAATATTGGAGAGGTGTTATTTTTTCTACATTCCCAAATAGTCAATTTCCCTAAAATTATCAAATAATTTAACAAATCGTTTATCTGAAGTAAGCCAACCATAATATCTTTTAAAGACAAAATTAAATATTCGCCACTAAGATCAAACCACCAGACTGTAAATACGTTCCAAAAAGCTCGCACAAAGGAACAGTTAAAGAAGAGGTGGTACAGATCTTCCGTATAGGTTCCGCAAAAAGAACACTTGTCCGAATCACTTAACCCTATTTTGAACAATTTATCGTTTGTAAACAAAATGAAATTCAATACTCTGTATTGAAACGACCAAACATACGTTTCGCTCGCAACAAGATAACGAATAGAGAAAACTTCCTGCGCATTTGAAAGCTCAAAATCCGCTGTCAACTTTTTAAAGCCATTCGGGATTCTCGCTTTACTTGTTATCATCGTAGAATAAAACTGTTTACACTTTGCAGTATATGCAATAAAAGATTTAGACTTATAATCAAAATTCATAGGATCGAGATTACCCGCTGTGGGGATGGGGCAGGAGCTTTTTGATTTCATATTAATAATAGAAGATCTCAAGGCTGTCCAAGTCAGGAAATTAGTGTTAAGTCCTTTTTGCTTAAAGAATTCATAAGAACGCACATTGTCAACATCGAACTGTAAATCATTCAAATAAGTTATGCCCTTGTCAAAGTATGTTTTATAAAAAACAGGTTTATTATTTATTCGTATATCCTTATTATTCCAAATTACATTTTGAGAATAATTCACATCAGAAAAGGAGCATCTAAAATCCGCCCACCATCTAAGAAGCTGTAAGTAAAACTTACTAAGACTTAAGTCAAGATCATTTACATCATAGTTACATCTAAAAAGAAAACATCCTCCGTATTTTTTTAAGTTGTATTTGAGATAAGAAATCCAGGGCCCTTCCTTCTCATCTATGAGACGCGGAATCCAGGTCAATCTTAATGCTTTAATATGTAGCTCAAGGTCTGTGAGATTCAGTCCACCATTCTCTAAAGTATTTATCATAGAAAGCCTTGTGACTTTATCAGGGCCTTTCCACAAAAATTTGTAAATCATTTTCTCCATCTGTTTAATAATTTCGGGTGGGGTTTCTATTATTGAAGAAACATATAATAATTTTGGGATTAGGAAAGATTCAATCATTGTTACTTTGCCAAATAGGGAGAGACCTCTGAGTTTCCATAAGTTAATCATTTTTTGAACTTCATTTAATCTATCCTGGAAATTTTGTTTTATAACTTGTTCTTGATCACAGGAGAAGTGAATACCTAGGGTCTTAACACCTGTACACCACTCAAGGCCCAGAGGTGTTTCTAAAGAATTTTTGTTTTTTCCAACCCACATAGCTTTGGTTTTAGAAAGGTTCATTTTTAAGCCAGAACATTTTTCGAAGTCATTAAGGATTTGTATTACTTTTTCGACTGATGAAATATTTGCTAGAGTAGCTGTCATGTCGTCGGCATACAACAGAGACCTAGTTTCATCTTCCCCGATTTTTATGCCTTCAATATTCTCATTTGTTCTTATAGATATCGCCATAATTTCAATGGCAATTAGAAATAAATAAGGCGACAGAGGGTCTCCCTGCCTAACACCCCTTTCTAGTTGAAAAGGAGAAGAGAAAAAACCATTATTAAGAACACAACCTGAGAGGTTATTGTAAAACGTTTGAATCCACTTTATGAAGGAGGGTCCGAAATTAAAACACTCTAATGCTTTATAAAGAAATTCATGTTCTATGGAGTCAAAAGCTTTTTCAAAATCAATAAACAGTAAAACACCTGGTAACTGTAGTGATTCAGTATGAGCGATAATGTCTAAGATTGAACGAGCTGTTTCTCCAATAAACCTACCCTTCATAAAACCGGATTGATTTGCATGGATTACAGAGGGAAGAACATTTTTTATTCTATTTGCGATGACCTTAGTTGCGATTTTTGAGTCGACTTCAAGTTGATAAATTATCTTTTATAGCTCATTCAGCCAAACCGCATAACGGCCATCGTTTGTTTTTACCAGGAAACTCTTTGAAGACTTTGAAAGGTGTTAACAATGTGCTGTGACAAAAACTCAGATAAATACAACAAATCGACAGAACCTTTCTTTGATGACTAACAGCAGTTTCAGACACTTCGATTACGAAAAAAAGGCTTTTAATTTATTGTGACTTAATGGCAGATTTGTCACTTTTTCCCTCGTAAAATACGGCTAATAGCAATAAGTCGTGACCGTGATAATTGCTACAAGGAGTGCATGAGGCTAAAACCGGTTTAGTTTCTAAATATTCAAAGTTTGAGAAAGCGAATTAACTGAAAGGGGGAAGGATTATTCTGAAATATCGTAGGTTTTGGATTGTCGGCGAGAATTAAAAAAGTCGGGGGTGAGCCCGTTTTTTTTTTTTTTCTTTTTTCAGCCAAATTAAAAAAGCATTAATTTCATTCTTACCACTTTAGCTGCCCGCACCAAATCAGCATAAAAAGGGACACAAAGTCTCTATAAGGTTGTTAAAACACTTAAGTTCCTTTTACTCAAGTGCACCGAGTATTTCTGGGCACCGGCAAACTTTATGGGGAAACTGACAAAATGCGTGGCTAGTCTTTAACTGATGAGGCAAAGAAAGACTTCTAAAATGAACACCAAGAAGAGAAAAAATCGGATCACCTTGTTCAAAACAAGAGCCAGTTTATGTTCTAAGCTCAAAATTGAATTTTTACTAGATTTCTCGCTCCGCACATGTTTTCATTGCGTCTATTTTGGTCAACTGTTTGATTCAGTCTTGCCATGAGTAGAGATGACTTTGGCTCATTTGAACTTTAAAAGCAACACAATTGTGCTGTCTCCATCTCATACTTTATCCACTTATTAAAATATATTTTTTAGGCTATCTTTTCGTTCCTTTCAGCCCCTTTCGTTCTTCCTGCCAGTTTCAGCAAGAAGAAAAAAAAATAATCATAAAAAAATTCATTGCTTTCTTTGCTCAAGAAACAAGTTTACTCCCTTGACTTGTGCCTCAACTTATAAATTTGTGGTTTTCTTAGAAGTGTCTGAAGCTAATAACTCAACAGGTTTTCGCCAAAATTACTAAAACAACTAGAATATCATACAGGAAATAACGACAATCTAACCTGAAAAAGATTTGGCTGCAAGAGATGCCAAGAAGAGCAAATGGAATATTGTGGACATGATGGCCTCTGCGCAAGTGAACTATCCGTTGTCATCCGCTGGGAGTGAGTCTGAAACTGTAAAGTGAAGTGAGTTTTCAGTTCTGCTTGTGACATAGGATTTATCTTGTGTCACCTGTCATACGTGAGGTAATTTATATGATATTGGGCCGCTTGTGACTTGATCCATTGGCTTGGTACACTTGGTAAGTGTCACTAAAAGATATTGTCGTAATTTCGAGCTTTTATGTTTGTTTAATTGAAAAACTTGTCAGCAAGTAGAGCAAAATAAATGCGACCTCCAATTTGTAAACTTGAGAAAGATTGCTTCTACATTAGAGCGAATTAAAATATTTTCCTTTTTTTCGCAAGTCAATTATTGGCAATAATTTTGCGTTTTCCAAATTTTGGCCGCGGTCGCATCAAACTAATATCGTTTGACCAAACGTCCGCTAATTGATCCATTCGTCAATCACAAACCCATCTTGCTCTAGAAGAAACTGAAAAAAATCTTGCGCGAATTGCTACACAAGAACGAATCCTTTTTTTCCTCCTGACCTTTTGCGTTGTGGTTAACGCTTGCGTTACTTTTGATGGCTTCGACACTTGCGATGGGAGGAGAATTTCTCGTTGAAACTATGTGTTCTCCAAATTGCTGCCAGTATAACCGTACCCAGGGTACGAATCACAGACATTTAGTAAAAGTGTAGCTCAGATTCGTTTCCCTCAAAAGAAAAAGGGTCAGATGAAAGAAATCCTGCCATCGCACGCCAAATACAAGCGGACTGAAGTATCCTTTTCCCAATGAAATTTTATTCAGAGATATCTTGCATAACATGACAGCTTAGCGGTTAAAAAAAACAAGATTGTTTGTTTTGCCAAAATTTGGAAACCTCCGAGGCAGGACATCGGGTCCTTTGAGGATTGGCGAAAATTTTTAGAACTACATCATACAGTCGTGCGAAGCCTCACTTGTCTGTGCCGTAAGCCGCATTTAAGAGTGTCTCTGTAAGAGCGGTCCGGTCGATTTTGCTTGAGACACGGATTTCGCACGTTTCTTGTGTGTTGTAAGACTTTCATGTACGTATACTAACACAACAGTCCGTTTGATCGGATCTCTTTATTTTTCAGAGTTTTATGGAAATTAAATTTCACTCGAGCGAGGGCTTGTCGTGACACTTTTCAAGATTTTAATTTCATACAACTTTGGAGGACAATTTACAAAAAACTACGGAAATCAGCAAAAAAAAAAAAAAAAAAAATAGCACAGCCATGTATAATAACTCTATCTTATCTATCGGGGCGACTATCGTAAACATCGCGTTTCAATCAGGAAACAGGAAGACTTGAATGACACCTTATCGGTTTGCCTAAGTCACACACGCCAAAACCGATCAAATTCAAGGTAACGCATGATGCGTAACCGATATAAATCAAGCAAGTGGATCTAAAACCGTCAGAAATACATGCGAAAGCAATTCAAATGAACTCTACTTTCAATTCAAGCGGCAAAATTTGAAATTGTTCGTTGAACCCAAACTTCGACTCGAATGTGAAGTACAAATCAAATAACATAACTGCTTCATTTTCGAGGCAATATCACGCTGGTATTTTGACATTCGGATCGACAAGAACAGTGATCAGGAATTGATCGGTATGTTTACCTCGTGAACGTGATCGCTGACCAGCCGCTGACTGAAAACAGTACGGCTCAGTGGTGAGGGGCGGGGTGTGGGGTGGGTGCGGGCAGATTCTCAGATGATTTTTGGGAACATTCGAACATATGCATTAAAGTATTATAATAAGCATTAGGACTGTCAGTCTTAATGCGAAGGCATGCTTCGTGTTGCAGACAACTTTTGGTTTACTTAGTATTCCTTTTTTTCTTTCAAATACATTTCGTTCCAAGTAGGACTAGCATCAATTCATAGATTTACAAACAAATCTTTATCACGTAAATAAATGTGTTTAGATAATCGAGATAACCATTTAACCTCTTGTATCGCACCAAAAATAACGTTTCTTGTCTTTGCCTAACTCTGAGAGCGTGGAGCGGCAAAGACGCAAGACACGAGTCTCGAGTCTCGCGTCTCGCGACTTCTCCATGCTCACAGGATACGCGTGACCGCACTACCTTTAAGAATAATAAGAGACTGCTCGGAGTCTGTATTCCGTTCAACCATTTCATAAGAGTGACGCGAGTCTTTTCAATTGAGTGAAAAAGTCACAAACCCATTCTTTACCTCACGAGCGTAACCACTGACCACTTACGAATTAGAGTAGGCTTCTCCTTTGACGCGGAAATTGAAATCGTATCGAGTATACAAAGTTATAGTGAGTTCCTTTAGATCTCCCGAACTTGTATTGCGTTGGAAACAGTTACAAGTACAGGAAGAAGTCGTTCGTTAGCGAGACGTTCATTATGTCTCAGGACTGCTTTTTGAATAGCAAAGATGGAAAAAACTTTGGTTCATCGTATGGTTTAAGTGGTTTAGTACGACTGTCTGAATGCAATGACGAAGTAAAACATCATTTGATAAGCTGCCACCTTTCTAAAGAGGTCTTAAGTGAAAATGAGCAATCTTGACAAGGACTGGCCTATTTCACCTCGCTCAGGAGGATAAACAAAAAAATGTGGATTTGCTATAGGCATCGCCACACTTTGGGGAAGTTTTGGAGAAGTGCAAAGGTAACATGTCAGTATCCTGATCATGAAGGTGTCAGGAAGTGTATCCAAGGCAGAGATGTAATTACCTTGCATGTCTCAGGACATTAAAAAGCTGTTTGGAGTTATTATTCCAGTTGAATCAGGTAGTCTTCAGTAACATTTTCTGTTACCTATTTTTGTTTCATGACATATCTGCTCGAAAAGAGAAGAAATTTTTTATTAGATGAAGGGTACTTAAGTACACATCACGTTGAAAAAACATAGATCTATGTGTAAGTGCTTTTAATTGCAGATGGAAATATGTACAATGTTGCTTTGTTGATAATCAATAATGTTTTTGTAGAAGATCAAATCACCTGACAACGCAATACACTTATTCATGCGTACGGTTCACAATTATTTGCGGTCAGTTTTCCTCAGTTTGTGTGATTCTCATTAACCGGTATGATTAAATTTGCAGACTAAAACACCCCTTATTTGATTAAGAATAATAAAAGTAAACAGTGCATGTCGGTTTTCAATTCCCGATGGATGCTACTGGGCTTTACTTTAACTGAGAAATTTGCAATCGCTTACCTCACTTCTCTGGGCCCATGCCGTAAGAAGCACAAGAAAAAAGTTGATGATAGTGAGTCTTGGCTGAGACAAGAAGAATCAGAGAAGAATCTACGGTCCCCAGAAACGCCACTTTTAAACACGAGACAACTAAGGTAAATTGAATGAAGTAGTATTTGTTTTTATTGAAAAACATCGTTCAGATTATAAGATATAATTATAAGTAACTCAAAGCAGACTGTTGTCGCATGATTGGAAAGCTTTTGCTGAAAGCGTAAAATCGATTTGAAAATTAAGTTTCTCTCAATTTTCCCTCTGATTCTTGGAAAAAACTGAATCTAGTTTAATAGTTTTTTTCAACTTAAAATGGGATCTAAAAGGGAATAAAACTGTAAGGTCCCATGGTAGATTACGGTATCCCAGATTTTTTCTGGGTGAATTCCGAATTATCGAGTCTGAATTCGAGCTCAAGTTAGATTTTGAACTTTTAATTGAACTTCAAGTTTGGAGTCAATGAAGATAATTCAGTTTATTCGCAACTTGACAATTTATTGCAGTAAATTTAGACTAAATGAGCGTCTGAGTTGAAACATTTTGCAAACCGCAGCTGCAATTACAACTGCTGAGAGTGCCTGTCCCGTAATATTCGCCCTCAAAGCCCTTTTTTACAGACATATTCAGAAGTGTTATCTGTATAGGTTATCACACAGCTACCACCGTTATAGCACGGGAAGGGAAAACATGGAGACTAACAGAAGAAGAAAAGCAAACCAATCATCTTGCACTGCAGTCGCAGTTCCAATGATTAATAAAAAGCAAGAGATTACATACCTATCCAACTTTACGGCAGAATTAAATTTTTAATTTATCAACGTTTCTTCATAATAAGGCCCGGTAAGAAAGTTTGTGAAAGTTACGAGTGCAATATGGTGTTGCGTAAGCACGGGTAAAATTTTTTAAAGACAGCAAAATTGCACAAGCCCGAAGGGCGAGTGCAGTTTGAAGTCTTAAAAAAATTTACAAGTGCTTATTTACACCAAATTCCAATCGAAATCGGCTCATTGCGTTTGCCAGAGCGTGAACTGAAAATAATTCATTGGTATTCCAGGTCGCATAATTGGGTGTTGTTGTTGTTTTTTCCAGTCAGTTCTTTACAGACGAGTTCTTTCAATACATCAGATAATCAGCGACCTTAGATATAAGAGTCTCAATGGGGTCGAGGGGTGCCTTAGACAAAAGGAAAGGGAAAAAACATGGGCAAGAAAATCAATCCGCTAACATATCAGAGAACCTGTCGTATCCAGATTGTAACCGTGCGGGGATCCCAAGATTGATTGAATCGTCTGGATAGTAATACCATTTGTTTGTTAAGAGGGCCCACGGAAGCACAACTAAAAAATTTGTGGTTTGTCATCATAATAAATAATCTTTTCATCACAAGAGACTATTAGTGTTGTTTGTCTCACGATGTGGTCACTTCGAATGTGGATGGCGACGTTGTCTGCTTCAGGCCATGAGGTGCATTATGCTGTGTGGCATATGCTGTTGGAAAATTCAACAAGGAAGGAAGTCGTGTCATGCAGATATCTTTACAAGACACACGGACGGTCAAAATTCACGATAGACTTCAACATTATCGAGTTTTTCCTCGAAATCGGTGCCGTTGTCAAGTTCTATTTTCAAATGGATCGGCGAACGATTTGAATCTTTCCTGACAAGTGCTCTTCCTTCAAAAAATGTCCGAAAGACGTTCCAGCCTTACGAGACAACCGAAAAAAGGCTCGAGTAAATTGAAGAGTCACTGATGTGAAAAACATAAAAAAAACCTTATCTTTTAAGATTTTTGAATAAACCTTTTTATTTATTACTGAATCGTTCTGAATCTAATCTTAACATTTCAATAAATTTTCCGTGTTTTTCTTTGGTTTCAGTAAACCAAAATGTAACCCCTGGCTTTAATGTGTTTATCTCCATTATCCGTGAAACGAAAAACCTCGTTTCCACATGTGTTACTGTCATCAGATTTCCCTCCTGCACCAAACCCAATCCTGGAGTTGCAAGAGAGGCAGTTATCCTGGTTGTTAGTAACGATGCCGATTCTCGCTTTGGAGAATTGAGACTTGCCACACAGAACATTAAACCCTTCCTTGTTACAGTGAGACTGCAGGGAGGCCTCTGAGCCAATGAGTGTCTTCCACGAGTCACGAGGTGTTTCGGTATTTTCCGTCAGCGATCAGTGAGTAAAGAGAGCTGGCCTTCATATTGATTACAATGAATCTGATCTGTTCACCGATCTTCATACCGAGGCAGATCTTGGAGAAGGATGTGTTCCAGTAAGTAGGCAACTTGGTCTCTTGTGAGTCGAATCCAGTCTCCCCTCCAGCAGTGTTGTATTCAGTTTTATTACTCCAGTAACCAGAATCATAGTGAAAGGTACTCTGGGAGAATAATTTATAATATGATGTAAATTTATTACTGGTTTTCTAACTATCCACCGTGTTATCCTGCTCGTTTTTAGACAATTTGAGACGATTCCTCCCTCCCAACCCATTTGACATATAGTATCTGTCCACTTAGTCAAAGAGATGTCAGCCGGAGACATGAACAGAGAGCGGAAGTCGCCCTCGTTGTCAATAAGTCAGTCAGCACATGTGGAAAAATATGTCTCAAGTGGTCGATAATGGCACGCAATCGATAAAAAATCGATTCTGCATGGTACCTTGTTGCCGTTAATTTTCATGACTGGCGTCCATCCTCCATCTCCGCATCCAAAATCTCCCATGTGACATAGAACTGTAGTTAGCTGTGAGCCCAGATGAAGAGAAACCAATTTACTCACGTTTGATCTGTTAATATACAAGTGGAGTAGTTACATAAGTATTTGACTCTCTTATGATGCCAATCTTTATCATTTGTACTTATTAAACTTCCTGACTGATGTGTCGCCGAACTCTGTTTTTAAGATCCAACGTGGCTGTAGCAAACTGGCCACCTCTGCGTCTCCAGTGTCACAGAAGATAAGATTTTAGAAAAGATCTGTTAAAAAGAGCAAGCAGTGAAAGCCTCTTACTTGTTTGCCTCATATATTTCCTTGCATGATTTTACAGCTGAAAGATAGAGTGTGATGTTAGAGCCGCATGTATTCTATTGTTAAAAAAGTACGGAAGAGGGAGACAGTGGGATATTTCAAACATATTCGTGAATTACCTTTTTCGCAAAATTCTCCAAAGAAACTTTCTTTACAAAGACAGTCAATAGTGTTGGAGCTGAAATTCGGGATGCAGGTTCCTCCGTTTTGACACGGCGATGAAGAACAAGGAGACTGAAAGAGAGGAAATGACTGTTGAGACCACCCAGTGAATGCTTGAACAGTACTTTCGATAGCTGTGAATAAGCATACCTAGTCGAGAGCGAGTACTTTTATATGTATTCACTTGTTAATGCCTTGCGTTAGAATTATAACACAATGGTTAAAGTGTTCTTACCCGCACAATGAAATCAAAGTGCTCTGTGAGCAAACTCGTGAATTGACACATGATTTTTTAGATTATGTTTAATGTTATCTGGTTTAGGGAATTTTGTGGTTGATTGTCATATCTAGAGTACGAGCAGTAGTTCAGTGTTCGCTAATGTAGCAAAGAAACAAAGTAACGTTGGGATAAGAAGGCATTACAATTGAAATGATCATGCTATTACATTTGACAAGGTGGATGATATCATGTGTTTTAAACGTCTATCATTTTTGTTTCTGGTTCAAAAGAAAAGGTTGGAAGTAAATATGGGTGAAAAGTGAAATTTACTGTCTTTCGTTGTAAATATTAGAAAATCAAGGCAATACTGTCTTAATGAAAACATTAACGATTCCCTCTTTATCAAATGAGACAAACGGGAACGAGTTTTGAGTGATATAACTAAGCCAAGCCTGCCACCGTCATTTTGGATCTCCGCCTGGGTAGATTTAAGTCACGTGCTAGGCAACGTATAATCAATAACAAGATAGAATTTCATTTCAGGCCTATTTATCAATTTTGTGGTGTGTAACTTTCGCATTTTAGTACGTTGTATGTATGTTGAATCTTCAAATTGTCTTGAAACTTAAAAGAAAATTGTTCTTTAAAAATTCACTGAAAATCGGTAGCTAAAATTGTTTGTTTAGGTGCTATTTGATTTTCGTGTTAACTTGTTATTTCGTCAGTCGCCGGCATCTTCTGTTGATTCACACAGGAAAAACACACGCGACGAAACGTAATGATCAATTTTGTCCTCAACTCACGCCATAACAGAAAAAGCTTTTGAACATCTGTAAACTCCGAGCACTTCGCAGTAAGTGATATTTTCAATGAATCTTCGGATTGTTTTCAAGTTCAAGGATTGTAAATTACAATTTTATGAAAAACGAAGGTTGTTCTGTTATTTCAGTGTGAATCCTTGCATGCCTGCCAGTCGCTGGCGCCGCTTGTTGAAACTAAAATGAAAAAAAAAAACTCTTTTAAGATTATCATTGGCTTCTCTTTCACCCCACCACTATTCTTAGCAACAAAGGTCGCCATTTCGTCTGTTTATTGCTCGCCAAAAACTATCAAATGCACTCAAAAGCCTAAAATCTAAAAAAAGTTTACAGGAATCGACCAATCGAGCGAGCGAGCGAGCGAATGCCATTCCCCACACCGTATCTATAACTCGCTCTTGCGCATGCGCGCAATTCACGAGTTAAAAATGATGCGAACTCGTGTTTTTGTGGTAGTTCCCAGCGTTTCTGTTTTTATCAGAAGACAGTAATTCGCACCAAAGTTTTCCGTCTGTTCCATGAGAGGTGGCCATGTTTAAAGAGAGGCACAAATTATTTCGGAGGCACGCCAGGGCGCAATGAAACATGTCGAATATCGCCAACTTTCTGATCTGAGTAACGTCCAGATAATGGAACTCCTCTTCAAGAAAAAGACTTTGTTCAGCTGCTCGGTCAGAGGTGCCCCGATCTTGGTCAGCACATTTTATTCCTGGATCGAGGAGAATAAAATGGATGTTAACCAAATTGCTATTGCAATACTTAAACTGAGACAAGAACTCTCTGCATGTCTCTCCCTGGTGGAGTAAGGCTTCTTGCAGCATTTGACATATGATAAATGTGTTTAATCGTAACGCTATGCCCTTTTCTGTCTCCGAGAACGGAGTCAGAAAAGGCAGCAATCTCCGGCAGCAATCTCCAATGCAATCGTTTTTTGATTCTCAAGTACATAAAACTCCACATTCGAATCGACCACATCGTGAGGCAAACGATTACAATTCTCTTTTGAAATTGTTATTTAACACGATGACAACCACAACCCATGTTATAATATAAAAGTGAAGATATGATCCGCTCAGGTGAGCTCCATGTGATGAAAGAAATTGCCAAAAAGAAGCCTGAGAAAAATTCGGGTTTTCACGCCTTTCAAAAGTTGACATGTTTTATATAATTGTGTCGATTCTCACAGCTCGATTTGAAATTGGGCCAAAAGTTCTTCTAACACATTTTACTTCCTAATATAAATGTATTTCCACAGCCCCAATAGATATTTGTATGTATAATTTTGTGAAAACTGGAACTCTAAGATTGAATTAAGTTGGAGACAAATTCTTCTTCAAAGGCGATGATAAAATATCTCAAATCATCTCTATTTTTAAAAAAGGTAACAAAACAACAAAAAAAAAACTTAAAGCTCATAATTATTACAACTTGAAGTTAATAAATTGGCCAAGTCGCCATTGTTTGTTTTTACCAGGAAACTCTTTGAAAACTTTGAAAGGTTTTATCAATATACTACGAAAAACTCAGATAAATACAACAAATCGACAGAACCTTTCTTATTTGACTTACAGCAATTTCAGACACTTCGAATATAAAGGGCTTTTAGTTTGTTTTGACTTAGTAGCAGATTTGTCACTTGTTTCCATCGGAAAATACGGCTTGAAAGCACTTAGTTGGAACCATGATGATTGCTACAAGGAGTGCATGTGGCTAAAACTGGTTTTGTTTTGTTTCTAAATGTTGAGAGCTTGAGAAAGCGACTGTAAATTAACTGAAAGGGAGAAGAGTTAATCTGAAATATCGTAGGTTTTGAATTATCGGCGAGGATTTAAAAAATCGGGGGTAAACTTTTATTTTTTCAGCCATATTAGAAAAAAGCTTTAATTTCATTTCGCCACTTCAGCTGCCCACACCAGTTCAGCAAAAAAAAGGATAGAAATTCTCGATAAGGTTGTTGAAATACTTTAGTTTCTAATGACTGTAAATATATGGAAATCATGTGCATCATGTGCACTGCGGTAGAAGAAACGAATATAGGTCATCTTCGCAGTTATGAACACTACTGATCTCGTATTTGAAATAAGGCCTGAAGGTTTATTTGGATTCAACATAATGACCAGCTCCCAGTTGGCATGTTAGCTCAGTTGGTAGAGCGTTGCACCGGTATCAGAGAGTTCATGGGTTTAAATCCCGTGCGAGCCTGATTTTTTTTCAGGCCTTATTTCAACTACTAGTTTAGTAGTTAGTTTCAGCAAGAAAATAATAATAATGTAAAAAATCATTAACTTCTTTGTCTAATAAACAAGTTTACCTCTAGGACTTGTGCCTCAAAATGTCTGGTATTCTTGGAAAAATTCTGAAGCTAATAACTCAGCAGGTTTAGCCACTATTGCTAAAAAAACTAGAATATTATATAGGGAATAAAGACAATCTAACCTGAGTAAGATTTGGCTGCAAGAGATGTCAGGAAGAGCAAATGGAAAATTGCGGACATGATGGCTTCTGCGCGATCGAATGATCCGCAGTCATCTGCTAGGAGTGAGTCTGACACTGTAAAGTTAAGTGAGTTTTTAGTTTTGTTTGTGATAAAGGATTTTTCCTGTGTGTCATACGTGAGGTAATTTATATGATAGTGGGCTGCTCGTGTCTTGATCCAATGGCTTGGTACAGTTGGTAAGTGTCTCCAAACGATATTGTCCTAATTTCGAGTTTTTTTGTTTGTTTAAATAAAAAATCTGTCAGCAAGCAGAGAAAGATAAGTGCGACCTTTAATTTGCAAACTTAAGAAAGATTGCTTCATTAACTTGCTCGTGTGATCCGGGAGAACACAAATATACATAAAATCGCCCTTGATTTTGGAGTCTCAGAGACGAATTGCATTGGAGCAAATTAACATATTATCCAATTTTTCACAAGTCAAATATTGGCAATAACTTTGCGTTTTCCAAATTTTGGCCGCGGTCGCATCAAACCAAAATCCCTTGACCAAAAGTCCACTGATTAATCCATATGTCAATCGCAAACCCATCTTATTCTAGAAGAAATTGAAAAAAGTCTCGCGCGAATTGCTACACAAGAACGGATCCTTTTTTTCCTCCTGACCTTTATGCGTTGTGGTTGACGCTTGCGTTACTTTTGATGGCTTCGATACTTGGGATGGGAAGAGAATTTCTCGTTGAAGCTATGTGTTCTCCAAATTGCTGTCAGTATAACCGTACTCAGGGTACGAATCACAGACATTTGAGTAAAAGTGGAGCTCAGATGCGTTTCCCTCAAAAGAAAAAGGTTCAGATGAACGCAGAAAATCCTGCCATCGCACGCCAAATACAAGCGGACTAAAGTATTTTTTTCCTAAAGAAATTTTATCCAGAGATATCTTGCATAACATGACAGCTTAGCGGTTAAAAAAGAAGATTGTTTGTTTTGCCAAAATTTGGAAACCTCTGAGGCAGGACATCGGGTCCTTTGAAGATTGGCGAAAATTTTGCAACCACGTTATACGGTCGTCAGAAGCCTCAATCGTTGTGCTGCAGGCTGCATTTAAAAGCCTTGATCAGGGAAAAATTGCCAAAGACGAAATTTCACAAATACGCATTCCATAAAAATTGTGAAAAAAGTTAAGATAAAAATTAATTTCACCGAGATTTTCCTTGACATCGGTGCCGTTGACAAGTTTTATTTTCTAATGTATCAGCGGACGATTTGAGTCTCCCTGTCTCGCAATATTCACATATCAAGCCTTTTTTTAAAGGCACATTCAAAAGTGGTATCTGTTCAGCTACCACCGTTGTGGCACGGAAAGGGAATATTATTTTTACTTTACCGCAGAACTTTTAAATTTATCATGGGGAAAACTTTTCTTCATAATAAGGCCCGATAAGAAAGTTTTATGAAAGTTTCGAGTGCAATATGGTGTTGGTTAGCACGAGTAAAATTTTTTAAAGATAACATAATTGCATCAGCCTGTAGGGCGAGTGCAATTTGAGGTCTTTGAAAAATTCACAAGTGCTTATGTACACCAAATTCCAGTAGAAATCATGTTATTAAATATTAATAATTTACACGTAAAAACATCACAGAAGGTCAAAACAGATGGAATTTTGACAGTGCGCTCTATTAGTAACTTGCTAACCTAACCAGCCCCACCTGAATAGAAACGTACTGCGAGCTCTTATTTCTCGAAATTCCTCAGGAAATCTATATTTATGGGATGACAGTTACTCACACACACTTCCCAGTTTACAGACCATCAGAAAGTGTCTTTCAAGCATGAATATACGCATTCTTAGTCGTCGAAAACCACGAACGTTCCACTTTTAGGCGCAGTGAGATATTAATATTCATCTATTATTAAAATACTTTGTTTGAAAGTCTAGGATGAAAAGGTGAACTTATGTTCCAAAACAGGCGCTTCTGCAAAGAAGCAAATATGCGTTATATTAAAAGAAATTAGAAAAACATTTTTTTTAGTGTTGTCCAAATTTTCAGGGTCACCTGTCTTTCGACGTCGGCTTCAAAACAACATCGGAGACTCCTCTATGTGTTTCTTCAGCTGTTGTTCCGTATCTGCAGCCATTTTAGAAATTCTACTTTTCTTTCAGAGTTCTCGCTTTTAAGTCTAAATGAAAGAAACAATTGACTTTTTTTCACAAGGTATAGTGATCTCAATATTGGCAACTTTTAAGGCTTCTTAAACTTTGATTTATGTCTCGGGTAATTAACGTTTAAACTGGCCATTTAAGATAATTTAGAACCGCGACACCTTTCTCTCGTTTGAAAATTTTAGGAAATTTGTCACTTTTTCATTTCATGATGTCAGTTGCAAAAGGCCATTCAAGGAAGCTTTAATGAGGATATCAAGAGATAACCGGAGATAAAAAATGGTGTGTAATTGCTTCCTTTCTGCTGACAACTAACCCGTAATTTTATCAAAATCTCTGAATAAGGAGCTTTCAGCCCCACGATTTAACATGTATATTCATTGTTCAAATTCGCGGATCGTGAAAGAGATTATTCATTTAAACGACTGTGCAGGCGGGTGCATCATTTTTTGCGTTTGGCAGGGCTTGAACTGAAAACATTTCATTGGTATTCCACGTCGCATAATTGGGTGTCGTTGTATTTTTTTTGCCAGTCAGTTCTCTACAGACGAGATCTTTTAATACATCAGATAATCAGCGACCTTAGATATGAGAGTCTCAATGGGGTCGAGGGATCCCTTAGACAAAAGGAGAGGGAAAAAACATGGACAAGAAAATCAATCCGTTAACAAATCAGAGAACCTGTCGTATCCAGATTGTAACCGTGCGGGGAATGGGTCGATCCCAAGATTGATTAAATCATCTTGATAGTAACAGCATTTGATTGTTAAGAGGGCCCACCGTATACGGTTGTCAGAGCCTACATTCATTAGTTCTATAAAGCACAACTATAAGTTCTTTATGGTAAAAGAGATTGGGGTTTTTCATGGTAGTAAATAACCTTTTCATTATAAGAGACTAATATTATGGTTTGTCTCACGATGTAGTCACTTTGAATGTGAATGGCGACGTTCGACTGCATACTGTTAGTCTTCTTTTAGCCATGA